GTTAACTCTTGTTTTAATAGATCGTTGCTTCTTCTCTCTTTCTGGCAATTGAGGTAGCAACTCTTCATTTAATTTGTTTGAGTTACTGTATGTTATATCAGTTGTTTACACGTCTGTATCCATTACGATATCATCTTCCTTAGCACTACTATCATCATAGGTTTGCCTTAATGGGCTACCATCAATATCTAACTCGGACAACTGACCATCCATGAGCTCGGTGTCAGAGCAATCAGAATTCCGGTTGATGAGCACCTCTCCATATGTAAGTAATTAATAAGCTTAGAAGTCAAAATAAGTTGATCTTCAGAGTGTTTTTATTATGTTGTACCTTTTAGCAAACCAGCTGTGTAAGCTTCTTCAAATTTTCATTCTAAGTTTCTCCTTGATATAGTACATGTTTCTGACCTACCCTTTGCTTGTTTATGTTGTGTCACACATGATTTAGCACCGGTTGTTTGCAACCCTGAATATCATGATCAAGAGCAGAATTATATGATTCCAGCTAGGTGTACTATCATCATAGGTAAGACCACGTTTCGTATGTGTTGTAAGACTTTCAATATCTAGACTAACCATTTGCATTTCCACTTGGAATACGATTGGGGGAGAACAAACTTTTCAATTTTCTTACATGACTAGTTCTTAGATTGGTGATGTTTTGCAGTACAAATGGTGAGTTGCTTTCATGTTGTAGTGATGGAGACATCGTTCTAGAACCTGAGATACATTAGTAAGTAAATCAACCTCACTTAGAACATGTCAGTTGATATTAGATTCATATCGATATAAAGTAAATGATATGATAGTGATTTGGAAATATGACCGACGTTTTAATCTAGGTTTGGCAGGAATCGTTGGAATATTCAATGGAGGAGTCAGTAGAAAGTTCTGATATGCGGATGTCATTATCGAATATAACAACTTATAAGGTAGAAGTCCTCTGTAGATAATGCCAGTAATCGTATAAACGAAATGTAACATTGTTACCTACGACAGACCGTGTTGGTTGTGTAGAACACGTGTTTGACATTATATTTGTGATTTCGTTAAAAACACTTCCATTTTATTTACTCTTTTTGCTGTAAGATATGAAAAAATGTTAAGTATGTTGGGTGAGCTTTCTTATAAATATACTCTTTTACATTATACTTACATTTTCCATGCTTGTGAAGACTTGATTTGGGAGTCGAGAGGATGTGCACTTGACCAACATTACCATTAGTCTTCTTGTCTGTTAAAATTCTATTGGATACACTATGTAAAGGAACTTATCAGGTTTGAGTTGGTGTTCTCCGGTGAGACTTCCAGGCCATTCATATTGATATGATGTCAAAATTTCCACTCTTGGCATGGCGGAGATGAAAATCTCTCGCAGCATCGGTATGCATTGTTTATCAAAAATTAAAACCTTGTAAGTTCAACTGTTTTTTTGGTAGCTGAAGATTCATACCAGGCTAAGAAAATAACTTAGAATGATTGAGAAAATGCGTTTCTAATGATTTGTATTTATGATAATATAATTTTCGTAACGTACTGTTTGGTATTTTTTGCCTCAGTTGTTTATAGTTGTCTTTATAACAGTTGATTGTATATATTAGGCACCATTAGGCAATAACTTTTTATAAATTTATTTGTATCCAACATCTATATTGAAAATACATTTAAGCAAAGAAGCTTGAGAAGGAGATGAATTGATCGATACATATGAATGCAGTTGAAAGATATTTTGAGGTTAATAATAACATAAGTATACATAAAACAAATTTTAGAACAACTTGTTAAGTTATATGGAAATAAGGACATATATTATGCTCATATTTTATGCGTATTTAGATCATAGACGCTTAACATAATTATTTTTTATACCACCGCAATTTAAGTTTAAAAATTATTACATAAGCTTGGGAGTTCAGTTCTCACTAAGACAGTGAAAAAAAGCTAGCGCAGTAATAAAAGATCATGGGACACCAAAACAGAACACGATCTGTTTTGTCTCTTTTTGTCAATCTGGTTCCTTTCCAACTCAGTCGCTTCCTTCTTCGTAATTTTGCTCATTGAACATCAACCTACACCCGTATGGAGAGAACAACATGGCAAACATATCTATTATTAAATATATTTGAGATCCTATATAGTGTACAAAGGATCAAAATAAATGGTCGAAACATTAGTTTGACTATGCAATTCTATTCCTTCACATGTAAACACATATCCTATAAGATCTATACGATTAAAATATTCCATATCAATTAAACATATGGTCATAGAGTTAAAAACATACCGCCTGCTGAGTACTTAGCCCTCCAAAAGCGCAGCACAACAACGCTTGTGGGTACATGTGTCAAAGCATGTACAACAACTAATTATATCCAGTGGGTAAATATGTCAAAGCATGTACAACAACTACACGCCTGTGGGTACATGTATTACGAAACGGAATGTTCAGTGTCTTTGAAACTCACTGGCCGGACTAGATCATTATTTCACAAGTATAGACAGTATACAAAAACTCACTGCACAATTTCACCTCAATTGTATGTAATACATATATCGCTTTATCAGTGACCTGTTTAAAATTGGATCGAAAACTAGGTTTATCCTTCTCCTATACAACAAAAGCAAACTTAGTAGAAAACACATCTAAACTATTATCAGTAAAAATACGACAATCAGACTCCCCACTCGGAGCAACCAAATGTGTACTTTTAATATTCATTGTTTAATGCTGATCTATTTATAAAGAAAACTGGGGAAACAGCCTACTAATTATCTGCCAAGATAAAAGAAATGATGTAATATACATGTGCATTTATATAACATTGGTTGGATGTAGTAATTTTTCGTATTTGCTTTCCCTTCTTGCAGCTTCAGTATTTGGTTCAACATATATATAACTCCTGTTGGAATCTAGAATTCTAAATTTAAAAATTACTCAAACACACGTGGATCTGCTAAAAGTATTATCTCACAATGTACGTTTACCATCAATCATTGACATTAATTAATAAATTTACTCCATGGAGTTTTACTACACAATGCTAATTAATGTTTGCCTATTGTTTAGCTATTTAGGAACCAAATAGCGAAAACACTCAACCAAACGAAAGGCAAGATAAAAGGCAATTGAAAAGATAATATACATCTACTAGTTTAACAATGAAAATTTTACAAGTTCTAATTTTATTAATTAAACTACTAATGTATATTGTACATCAATATGATTTAATACCAACAAATGAGGTCTTAGTTTGTCCATTAAATTACAAGTAAAAGAAGATACTAATGTAGTTTCTATAAACAATTCACACAAATCTTCATCTTACTTATCTAAGAAAAGAATTTTTCTACATATTCATTAAGAAAAAACTCAAATTTCTTGACAACTGATGAACAAATTCGATTAAATCTAGGTTGGAACAGCTGTGGTTTTATTGAGGATACTAGATTTTACCCTGTGGTACACCACGAGGCCAGTACTTTATGCGTCTTTGTCATTTAATACAGTACCGTTATAGTGTATATATATGTATGTTAAATTTTAGCAATAGAGTGTAAAGAGTTTGACATGGAGTTTTGTTGTGTTGATGGTTAGATGTTAGCAGTAGTGTGACATTAGAAATTAATATCATTTATATTATGAATAAACTATTGGGCTAGGCACAACTTCGTAAAGGTCGACAATGGTAAACATTAATATGTCAAATTTACATTTCAACAAATAGACAATATTCGACACATAGTAAAACTAGAATAGATTCCCCAACTTTTACTTTCAGGCTTTTAATTAGAATTTGTCTGCAACTCTCTCGATTTATCTTCCATTTTTTTAATCCTTCTTCGTGACCTTCTTTACGACGATTCTATGGACTGCCGAGGTTGCTCATATCGGCTGGGCTAACTATCCAAGGAGATCTGGCAGTGGTCGCTTCAGATGCTTCATTGAAGATTGAAGCTGACCCGACCAAGCCACTATTTGACCCGATCGGATGGAGTGAATTACCAGATAATCAACTAAGCAATGGACCCGACCGAGTCTTGGATGGACCCGAACGAGCCCAACATGTACCCGACCGAGCTCACCTCAAACCGACTTTGTAATTTGTCTTTTTCTGTTTTAGGGCTTCCTGCCTTTAGTATAAATAGACCTCTTAGGTCATTAAGCCAACCAGGAGTTCTAATTAGGGTTTTTCTCTGTAGCTACCAAACATTTCCAGAAACTTGTAATCTTTATATCTTTTGATCTATTGAGTATTTGGAGTTGCTTCTTTATATTATTTTGCTCCTTAGATCATTATCTATCTAGTTATGCAAGATTCAAGGATTTCTGGGTTTGTGTTCTTCATGATGAACTCCAGATCTGAGTAGTTTTTTCTGGGTTTAGAGGGTGGGTTAGGTGATGAGGAATCTTAATTTCTAGGGTTGCTTAAGTATAGATTTAGGTAGATACCTTCTGGATTAGGAGATCTTTATGCTATCTTAGCATTAACCATGTGGGATTAGATCTTAGACATTCCAGCACTCAAAAAGTGTTCAAATGGAATGTCTGATCAACTAATGCCAGAGATCTATTTACGTACCCAAGAGAATGGTTGCTAAGACCATGTTTAGTAGAGGACCTTGTTTAGGGTACTTAAAATTAAATTATAGATATAATTAACAATAAAGTAATCAAATAAATCTATTAACAATTTAAAAAAAAATCACCTTCCACTAGAGAATTCTTAACAAGGGTACTTAACCACTTAAATAATATATTTATATCAAATTTAAAAACATTTGTAAATAATACAAATTAACAATACAAGAATTTAACTTACATATATTACATTAAAAAATTTTTTTTAACATAATTCAGAAAATGGTTGCAAATTTGCAACAAATATGTGTCAATGGCGATTTACAATTTGATTGGGAACATTTCACCCAGAAAGATAGTAGATCATTTAATCCTTGGTAATAATAACAAAAGCATTTAAAACTTGAACATCAAAGAATTATTATAGCAAGGATTCAAAGAACTTACATGATGGGCACATGCACTTGAAAGCAAATAGTGTGAGAATGATCTCAATAGAGAATGAGCCTCTATCCACAAAGTCACCATTGAAGAGGTATGGATTCTCCTCAGAAGGAAGGCCATTGAGCTCGAAGCTATTTAGTAGATCATAGAACTGCAAAATAATATTAACGTGTCAAAGATACAATACAACGCACTACAGCCCTTGCTAGTGCAAAGGGGAGAAGAAGGTTAGCCAACAAAACCAAGATATAAGAAATGATTCACAATAAAATCCAATTCCAGAGTATAGTATGGGAACCTGTTTACTAAAAATTTCTGACACATAAAAAAAAAAAAGAGAATTGGAGATTGCAGATTCATCTAAGAGAATAACTTATTAAGGAAGAGTAGGTGAAACCATAGCCTACCTGACCATGAACATCACCACATACGGTGATATGTTTGCCATTCGGAACGCTAATGTCAATAAGAGATGGCAGTGCTAGCAAGATTTGTCTTGTTTGTAAGACGATTTGATATGCGTACCTACATATATATTGCTGGCAAAGCATGAAGATATGATCTCTGTGTAAAATAAGTTGAGTATCAGAGAAAAAAATACGTACCGTTTATGCAATGTTTTTTGGTTCTTGAAATCCTCCATCATCGTTTTCACAAAATCCAAAGAAACATCTTCTCCCTCAATCCTAGCACCAGAATAATGTGGCTCAATCTCTACAATGAAATTAGATAGACGATTAGAAGATTGATAAAGGGTTAAAACCTCTATAACAGTGAAAATCAGTTTTCAATAAATGTTCAAAACTACAAGCAATGGACACATTTTATTATGGTTTTCACATCAATATCAATTGAGACTCCAAGACAGGAAAGATATTCATGCTTTGATATGCATAAAAACGATACACATTGATCCTAGATGAGGATTTAACCACAGAAAAGACACTACTACCAGAGCTACCCCACCAAAACGTCCCTAATACCACCAAAACCAACACCATGAGTATCTCAGTTGTGGCAAATCCTCAACTGGTTATTACTTAAGCAAAGCTTCAAATGGTTATTACTTAAGCAAAGAGTACCCAAAATATAGTGCCTTTTAAAACCAAAAACTTACAGGTGAAGGAAACCACAACTTTCAGGTTAGCCTCTTTGTGGTCTCCAAGCTGGTCTAACCATTCGAAGTTGTTGATGCAAAGCTCTCTTTCGTCTCACCAAGCTTCTATCTGATTACATGAATCTCCTCTTTTATCGCGTCCCCAAGCACCAAAAATGGCTAGTGATTCTATTCAGACCGACGATGTGTGAGCTTAGCTGCTCGAAGACCCGTTGCCATCTCTAAAGACGAAGCTAACCCTTCCATTTTCTTCGGATTGTAAACCCTAGCTCTCTAATCGACTGGATTCTATATTGGAACAAGATGAAGAATCGAAAACTTAACCCAGAAAATGAAAAGATTCAAGCTGAATCGAATGATTTTGCCGGATCTGAACGATTCTCGTCGATTTCGTCGAATCGTCGGGTTCGACAGAGAAGAAGAGAGAAAATTTCCCGAGATTGGGAAAAAAAATTGGGAATTTTTTTTTTTTAATATTTTACTCATCTTCCAATAAGGAAATGCGACATCGCGGTTCTTTAGAGTTGCTTCTGTTGCTTCTTGAAGCAACGTTTCTATTTTCAGTGGACCCTTTTTCTTGTTTTTTCTTTAATTGTTGGCCCACTTTCACTTAGAGAACCCAATAAGTATCCCCCAGTGGACATGCTCTAAGGAGTAGATTGACATTACTGAGCTTATTCTTTATGCCTATTTATAGTATGTTTCATCAATGAAAGTTGAGATTAGGAAGTGCTATAGATCTGATAATCTTTGCCAAGAGATTGGATTGATTATGTTAAGTGGTTTATTGTCTAGGAATAGATCTATCTGAGCATGTTAAGCATCCCAAAGAGACTAAGACGATTCATCACCCCATTAGCCCATCCTTAAGACCCTTTGTTTATCTGATTGATTATATGTTTTTACTTCCTGCTTTCATTATTGTTTATTTAGTTAAGTTTTATGCATTAGAGTTTTTTAAACCAAACCTTCAGTTACTCGGCTTGACTTGATTAGTACTGCCATATCCTGATTGCTTACAATACATTCATTTGGACCGATAACCTCTTATGCTACATCGCATTGGGGAATTGAACTCCAAGAGTATACAAAAATACTTGTTTCATGTAACTTCAATGTTTGATATCAATGACGATTGTAATTAGTTTCTTGATGGTCTATCAAATGTATTCAGACAAAATTAAAGTTGACTTGAACATGTTTGGAGGACACACTATGCTAAGAGTATTTTTGAGGTTAGTCTGCTTCACCGGATAACATGCTGCTGCTTACATTGTATCTGGAATCAATACAATTTTTCACGCAATTTGAACAAGACTATCTTATTATAAATTTATGTACTACTGAATACTTGGTCATTCTAAACTGTGGTTTATAACAAAGGAATAACATAAAGGGAAGCTTAAAAAGTGACTGGAAAAAAACAATTATCTAAAACTTCATTCTTAAATTAAACAACTTTTCAACAATCAGTTTCCTTCTACGAATTATATGTTGCAGCCAGTTTGGCTCTCACTTCTTGGTCATTATTTTGCCCCTTTAGAAACTTGAAGAGTTTTTTAAGACTTGTTGTTTAATCGGTAAGCCTTGCTTCAATGGATACCCTTTCTTTCTTGAATGTTTTCAGGCTGGATTTGAAGACTTCCTCTATGGAACACCAAGTATAAGACCCTGGAACTTCATGGATAGTAAGTTCTACGGCTTGAAGATTGTTGTTGTTAAGATCAAACCAAGACTGTAGTGATGTTTTTTTTGTAGGGGTGCATAATGTCACCTATATGTAGGGGTGCTTCTAAGTAAGAAGCTTTTGTTTTTTCTTGGTATTGTGGTTCTGCATATATTCTCGTTACGTTGATGCAATGTTTATATTGGTGATGGTGAGTAGGGTTGTTCCTAATGCCAACATTGATGGTTTTGATATGCTAATAAATATAGACCAATTGTAAAGATTAAAATCAAAGATTCTTGGATGCATTCTAAGTCCATACACTACAAGAAAACAGGCTATTTACGACTACATTTGGCAACTACAACCGCAGTCGCCAAATTTAGCGACTATTCGATGACTATGCAGCGACTACGTTACGACGACAGAGACTTAGTCAGTAAATAGTCGCTAAAAGGCGACTGACATGTGCAGTCGTTACAGTAGTCGTTAAATAACGACGGTTTCATAGATAAATATTCTAGACGATGTAATAGTCGCTATGTAGTCGGTAAATTAGCGACTATTAGGCGACTACACAGTAGAGTCGCAAAATAGCGACTACATTGCGATTGTGGCGGCGAGTCGTAATATAGTCGCCATTTAATCGTAAAATTGACGCAAAAGGAACACGTTTTTTTCGTTGTGGTAGTTGAGCACGAGCTGTGGTAGGTAGGCCTGGCCAAAATAACCAATAACCGATTAACCGAACCGATTAACCGAATCGGTTCGGTTTCGTTTCGGTTTCAGTTATCTTCAAATAACCGATTGGTTATTATATGTCTCAAAATTTGGGTTCGGTTCGGTTTTGGTTACTAACTGATAACTGAAATAAACCCGAAAAAACCGAATCTGTACATATGATATATGATTATATGTTTACCTTATATGTTCAATTGAATAGATGTTTGGTTACTTGGTTACTTTGGAGGACACAATAGGACTCAGCCATCTTTACTTCATGGGAATGGCAAAGCTTTGGTCCGATCAACTTTGTTTTACTTCTTCTCTCACTCTTATCTCGGCTTAAACTTAGATTTATTTTTGTTTTGTTTTTCAAACTTAGAACTATGTCCTTCTTCTCTTATCTCAACTTAGTTCGTAGTTAGACTTGGATGTTTCGTTTCTTTCCCTTTTACTCACTTGGTGTTTTAATTTAAGACTTTTAACGTTAGCAGGATGAGTTTGAATTCACAGGAATTATCGGTTAATTCGGTTAACAACCGAACCGAACCGAAGTCTAACCGAATCGAACCGAACCGAAATTTTTAAAATATCCGAATGGTTATTATATTACTATATCCATACTAACCGAAACCGAACACAACCGAACCGAAACCGAATGGTTAACCGAATGCCCAGGCGTAGTGGTAGGTGAGCACGAGGAGTGGTAGGTGTACCGGTTTTTGGCGACTATGCATGTTGTCGCTACATAGTCGCTATGCAGTCGCTAAGCAGTCGCTAAAGTGTCTATATAAGAAAGCTTCGATCCACAATTCTCTTCATTCATTCACAACACAAACAACCAATAATAAGAAGAAAAAAACGAGTTTTGAGAGCATTTCAATAATGGCTGGAAATTATAATAATGTTCGAGAGTGGATGTATAAAAGGATCGACGAAGAGACGGGAAACTTCTCAGAAGAATTTAGAGCAGGGGTAGAGCAGTTCATGGCATTTGCAAATAGCCAGCCTTTAGCACAAGATAATGGGGGTAAGTTTTACTGTCCATGTAGTAAATGCAAAAATGATAGGCGTATTCCGGGGGCTAGAATTTGGAACCATCTATTTAGTTATGGGTTTATGGAAGATTAGTATGTTTGGTATAAGCATGGGGAAGAAATCAATATGAATTTAGGAACGAGTTATGTTGATCCGACGTATATAAGAGGGAGAGAAGAAGTGGGTAATGTAGAAGATAGATATGTTGATATGGTGAATGATGCGTTTCCTAATGATAATTACATGAGTTATCATCAACATGATGACAGTTATTATAATGTAGAAGAACCGATTTATAACCATTCAAAGAAATTTTACGACTTGTTAGAAAGTGCTAAAAATCCACTATATGATGGTTGTCGTGAAGGTCACTCTCAATTATCTTTAGCTGCTAGAATGATGCAGAATAAAGTAGATTATAATATGACTGAAAAGTGTGTGGATTCGGTATGTGATGTGTTAAGTGAGTATTTACCAGAAGGAAACCAAGCTACCAGTTCACATTACGAGACACAAAAATTAATGCGCAATTTAGGGCTCCCATATCATACAGTTGATGTTTGTATCAACAATTGTATGATATTCTGGAAAGATGACGAAAAGAAGATAAATATCTCTTTTGTGGTCATCAAAGATGGAAGCCTAAAGAAAACCGACGTCGAACAAAGATACCATATAGTCGTATGTGGTATTTACCTGTTGCAGACAGATTGAAGCGAATGTATCAAAGCCACAAGACTGCAGCAGCAATGTGTATACGGTTATACCATAATTAAAAGAAAATCATATTGAACTGTACTTCGTCTAACCTATTATCAGTAAAAATACGACAATCAGACTCCCCACTCGGAGCAACCAATTATGTACTTTTAATATTCATTGTTTAATGATGATCTATTTATAAAGAAAATTGGGGAAACAGCCTACTTATTATCTGCCAAGATAAAAGAAATGAAGTAATATACATGTATATTTATATAACATTGGTTGGATGTAGTAATTTTTGTTATTTGCTTTCCCTTCTTGCAGCTTCAATATTTGGTTCAACATATATATAACTCCTGTTGGAATCTAGAATTCTAAATTTAAAAATTACTCAAACACACGTGGATCTGCTAAGAGTATTATCTCACAGTGTACGTTTACCATCAATCATTGACACTAATTAATAAATTTACTCCATGGAGTTTTACTACACAATGCTAATTAATGTTTGCCTATTGTTTAGCTATTTAGGAACCAAATATCGAAAACACTCATCCAAACGAAAGGCAAGATACAAGGCAATTGAAAAGATAATATACATCTACTGGTTTAACAATGAAAATTTTACAAGTTCTAATTTTGTTAATTAAACTACTAATGTATATTGTACATCAATATGATTTAATACCAACAAATGAGGTCTTAGTTTGTCCATTAAATTACAAGTAAAAGAAGATACTAATGTAGTTTCTATAAACAATTCACATAAATCTTCAGCTTACTTATCTAAGAAGCGAATTTTCTACATATTCATTAAGAAAAAACTCAAATTTCTTGACAACTGATGAACAATTTCGAATAAATCTAGGTTGGAACAGCTGTGGTTTTATTGAGGATACTAGATTTTACCCTGTTGTACACCACGAGGCCAGTACTTTATGCGTCTTTGTCATTTAATACAGTACCGTTATAGTGTATATATGTATGTTAATTTAGTAATAGAGTGTAAGGAGTTAGACATGGAGTTTTGTTGTGTTGATGGTTAGATGTTAGCAGTAGTGTGACATTAGAAATTTATATCATTTATATTATGAATAAACTACTGGGCTAGGCACAACTTCGCAAAGGTCGACAATGGTAAACATTAATATGTCAAACTTACATTTCATCAAATATTCGACACATAGTAAAACTAGAATAGATTCCCCAACTTTAACTTTCAGGTTTTTA